TTCCCTGTAAATGTGCTTCTCAAGCTTTCATTTTGCAAACCACACATCTGGTCATCTTCCTTTTTTGTTGTGTCTAAAAGCAGCCATATGTCATCAGCAACCCTCTCATGTATATTGAACTTCCTTAGCACATCAGCTTGTCTCTTTGAATGTGTTACCTGATGTCTTTAAAGTGGCAAAACAGAGAAAAGTGGGTCCTCCTAGTCTTTGTTCGTCAGACAAGTAAGAGTGAGGGATATGGCAGAGACAGGAATATGGTATTTATGGCCTTGTTCTGTATCTATTCTGTCTTTGCTTGTTAATTTCTCCTTGCCTTAGTTCAACTAGCAGAATATGGCTCGAATCAGTTCTACGCTATCTAGAAGTTAGGTATGGCTGTGCTTTATTGATAGGGAGGAACCAGGGCTACTGAGTTCTGGTGTGTTTTTTGTTAGATCTTCCACAGCAACTGTGATTCTCCAGCTCAATCTGTCTGTCCAGGTGCTTTATTAGGAGTTCACAGGTTTTAATATGAATGATCTTCTCTGGGAATTAACAGAGGTATAACAGCAGCCTTTCTGATCAGAATGTAGGCATAAGTGCTTGAGAACCATTACAATGTGTCTGGCAGCATGTATGTAAATAACAGAGAAGGATAATTATTCTAAAAGATCTAGATTGAATGGGTAAGCTTTAATTAAAATTTGAAAAGCTTTTGGTACAGGAGATACATTCAATCTTTTCTAAAAATAGGCTTAGTAATCTTGGTTCTGTGGTACTCTATGTGAAGAACCCTCTTCTCCTTCACCATTTAGAGTGGCATTGCATAAGTTAAGACATTAAAAAGGTTTTAGTGTGATGAGATGGATGATATCTTAGGTAACTAGGACCATAATTTAAATGTAGCCCTGCCAGTGCATAGTCTGTCAGGAGAATGGGCCCACAGCATTTTCTGTGTTAAAAACTCTGGAATGCAAGGGCTTTTTCTGCTTCCTAAAAGAGTTGCAGTCTCACAGAAAAGCAGAAGTGCACAAATTTTGGAGCTCAGTTCATTGTTTGAAACTTGGCTTGATCATCCGTGACAGAGGACTGAGTGTCTTGTAGCATTGCTATTTGACCATCCAGTAGCACTGAAGAGTTCACGAGATACCCATGGTTACCTTGGCAATAAAGTGATGAGACAGTCTCAGTATAATGGGAATTTTTAGAGGTGGTGAGATTTTCAAAGCTCTTTCTTTTTTTATGACTGTTAACTCATTTGTTACTGAGATTAACATTTAAACAGACAATTAAGGGATGCTTTTAATAGGCTGAGAAAAGTTAAAGGATGTCAGTGTATTCTTTAATCCTGCCTTTTGAAACAATCCCTAGCATTTTGTACTCATTATGCTTTTAAAGGGTGAATAATTCAGATTCTCATTAGAAACTCCCCTCTATGTTCCTTTCTCTGAATATAACTTTCTAAATAAGAAAATAAACTAATCTTATATGAAATCCTATAACCTATACATCTCTCTGAGTAAAATTATTACCTACATATATATATACTCCCAAGTCTACTACCAAATCCAACTGTGTTGGGCATAATTGTCACTCAATTTATTGGAAGCAAATTGACAACATTTACACAGAAAAAAAAAATAAAACCAGTTTAAATTACACAGGACAATGCTGAAAAGCCATCATTAAACATCTTGAAATCCTGCCTTCACATTTGCCACGCATTTGGCAGGGTCTGGGTCATGAAATCCCAACCGTTAGATGTTCAGAGCAAATGGAGCCCTGTGTTACCTTGTTACCCTTCTTCAGTACACACCTGTGCATTTAAGGCTATAATGGCACTGGCCTGCAAGAGATTTGCAAAGCAGGTAAAGCTCTTAGTTCATCTCAGGTAGTTAGGTGGTGATGAAGTGATTCACCATCTCTGCAACCATACTAGAACACGTATTCCTACCAGAAAGTTCAGCCACTGCAGGGGTAACTGGACTTACATCTCCAGGCATCCAGCAGTGTACAGACTAAATTATAACTTTTACTAAGATAACATGGAAACCGACAACAAATTATTACTTGTGGTCTTTTTCCAGTTTTTAAGTGCAAACATACCAAAGTTTATTTTAAATCCGAACCAGTCAGACATTTAGTAATATAGATCAAAGCAGAAATGAAGGCCTCCCATGCTTATTATTTCAATATGATGTCTGTTCTAATAAAGTGTAAGAATGCCTGTGATAGACTAACTAGTAGGAATTTTCTGGTTCTGTAGTTTAGCCTTAAATATATACATGTATTTGTAAATTAACCAGAAACACATTGTGGTGGTTTCAGTTCCTCGGAAAGCTGATTGTTTTCAATCCTTTCTTTAATCTTAGAAATATGGTGGCAGTCTGCCAGCACACTTTCAGATAAACAGTCCACTTCACATTTAAAAGCTGTAGAATCACTGATATTGAAGGGGGGAAAAATCAACAGAAAACAACACCAGTTCTCTCTCTCTCTCTTCCCCAAAATGTAGAACATT